TGCAGCATGAAAGCCCAGGAAAAACAGGGCTGGCTTGGTGTTATGAAAGCTGGAATATTGCTTTCTAACCTTCACAGGAAATGACTGGGCTGTCCTGGTGCTGCACCTGTCTTTCTGCTGCAGCTGGATAGTCCTGGGGCGCCGACTGTGCACCGCTGCTTTCGTTCCTGGCAAGACAGTGTGGGCTGGGAATTATCCAGGTGCCCTGTTTTCTCTTTCTCTCCTTCTTTCCTTTTTTTTATCCTCTGATATTCTCCACTGCTGTTCGTTGTCTCAGGGACACCAGACCAAAAGGCTTCCGAACGTTCACAAGCCAACTTCTAAAATCAAACACATTACATAAGGGTGGCAACAGAGAACATTGGTTCTAATTCCATTGTGAAATCTTTTTAATTCAGATTTATTTATTTATTTGAAATTAAGAATGACAGCACTGGGGGAGACATGAGAAAGAGAGAGGAAGAACCACATTCACCTTGCGTTCCCTGGTTCACTCCCCAGGTGCCAACAGCAGTCAGGTGTCCACCAGACCTAAGCCAGGAGTTGCCATCTGTAGTGTTGCCAGGTGAATTAGCAGGAAGCTGCCTAGGACACAGAACAGCAAGGATAGGAACTGACACCCTGGGAAACCAGCATTGCAAACAGTGACTTGAGCTGCACCCTCCAAACCTCCTTCATCTTTCAAAACTTCAGTTTTCATATCTTAGACACAGGAATTATTATGTTTCATGGTGGCAAAATATGAATGAAGTTGACATTGTTTTTTCTAACTCTAATAGAATTATTTTCAAATTATTTGAATTGAGCAGAAATTTGTAGACAGTTGAGGGAAAAGTACAAAAAGTAAGAGACTGTAACCTCTTACAAAGGAGAAGATCCACAGGAGCAGCTGGCGGATAATGACTTGAAACAGTGCTTGTCAGTAATGCCCAGGCTGCCCTTTGCATTGAGGTTTTAAGAATCAGCATTTTAGAGGCTGTTGGTGTTCGATGTGACTCCTAAGATTATTCATCCCTCTGAAAGTCATGTTCAAAAATAGCTGCTACTGTGGAACAAACAATTTTAGAGATCCCCGCTCTTTCCCCTAAGGATGCGATAAATTAGACAAAAACACTATAGACTATTCTAAAACAATAAATTAGTACCAGGTGAATTCGTGAATGGTTCTGGGATGCCGTGGCCATATTCCGCCCAAGGATGATGCCAGAGGAGCTGGATCACGTCTCGGTGATCACCTGGCAGAGTTGAGTGTCCTTGCTCTTCACAAATCACGGTGGACTCACCTGCTGCTTGGATCCGGTTAATTTATGCTGGTTGCCATAAAATTCCTCTGGCTTTCTGAATTCACACAGTGCTGTTTTCCTATTATGGGACCATCATTTTAATTTCAATTCCTTCCTATTTGGATTCTTACTATGACGCTACAAACATCATCTTTAAGCCACTAGGTGACTCTTTGTTTCTCTGGTTGTAGGCACTATTCAGTAATTGCTATGCCTTTTCATAGTCTTCAGAGGAATTCTACATTGTGTAAAATGTTCCTTAGTGTAACAATTTAAGTTTGGGTTGTTGTATTAAAATCTCTTTGGTAGCTGATTGAATACTTTGAAAGAGTTTCCTTTTTATTTTAGTATTTGTATGTGCATTTATCAACATTGATAGCAGAAAGAACAGGAGCCAAAAGCATGCTGATACTTTTGTTTTTCGATGTGTATTTCTACATTGTCTCTCCTCTGTGGTGTAATACTTCCTTGTTTTAATCTTACAGAAATGTATCATGTTTGATTAGACATACTAAGATTATAACTTGTGGAAAGAATGATAAACCATTTTAATTAAGAGGAAAAGGTTTCCATGTATTTTTCTTTGATGTTTCATATTTTTTAAAGGAGTTTGAAACACCAACCCAGTTTTACCTTTAAATAAAATCTAATGTTTTCTTTTCAGGCAACTAATTCATACATATGTATCAAATGAACTACGTAAAACTGAATTTTTTTTCCCCAAAGACAGATAGATGAAAAGGAAGTTTTAAGAGCTACATCACTTTTCGGGACTGGCTCAAAAGTTTGTCAGGCTAGTCCTCAGCCTGCAGTACCAGTGCCAGCATCCCAGATGGGCTCTGGTTGGTGCCCCAACTGCTCTCCCAGAGGCAGTGCTCCCTCTGAGGGCCTGTGAAAGCAGCCCCGGATGGCGCAAGTCCTTGGGTCTCTGCATCCAGGTGGGAGACCTGGACGAAGCTCCCAGCTCCTGGCTTCATTCAGATCAGCTCAGCTCTAGCTGAGTTGCAGCCATTTCTCTCTCCTTTTGTGTGATTGTCTTCCAAATAAACGTTTTAAAACCAAATAAATCTTTTTTAAAAAGAATTTTACCTTTTAAAATTATTATTATTTAGTAATGACAGTTATTAAATGACCTCCAGAAGAACAGATTTGCGCCAATTCTTGGGGAAGTTGTTAGCTTTCGGAACAGTGACCATCACAGGAGAAGCCTAATCCCTGGTGTGGTGACTATGAACATGAGAATACTGGAAATGTTAGTGAAGGCACCCCTTCTGAAATGGTCTTTTTCTCGCAGTGTTTGAAATTATACTGATGTAGGCAAGGTTGCTAGTAACAGCTCTAAGCCATTCCTGTATCTGCATTTTTTTGAGAAGGATGAATAGGTGATATTGAGAATGTGTGGGGTTGGGGTTAGGGCAAGAAGGCTGATGCAAGAGAAAGAAGGTAGCTACTGTCTCAGGAACATGAAAGCTGGTTTGATGGAGGGGCTTCGGTTGGCTCCAGTGTGGCATATAACCTAAGGGAAGGAAGTTGGCCTAATAGAAAATGCATGTGCTTGGTCCCTGCTGAGTTGTCAGTGTCTCCTTAGGCAGCATTTCCTAGGAATCTACCAAGTGCCAGGGAAAGCCAGGAAATGTTCAGTGAGAGCACTCTGCTCCCTTTGCCTTTTGATGTGGTCCAAAACCCAAGTGCCGGAGTAGAAGAGAGGGAATACAAAAATGTAGGCTTTATATTTGAGCTCATAGCCTAGTAAGAAAGAGATCAGTCCATGAATAAACATAATTCAGTGGGAGAGGCTGTAGCTTTTCCGATGCTATGGGGACACAGCCAAGGGAAGCCCCTAGCTCAGTGTAGGAATATCAGGAGAGGGTTCCCAGAGGGTGTTAAGTACCACTGGAGAAGGGAAAGCTTTGTCTGCAGATGGGGGCACATTCCACGAGGAGGAATGCCCATTGTGCCTGGAGGACCACAGATGAGGAGTGTTGTTCTGATGCCTTGGGCCCAGATGTTTGGAAGTCCCACCTGTATTGTTTTAGAAATTGAGGTTATCTCTTTGGACATTGGAAAGTTCTTCCAGAAGTTGCTACCTTCCTAGGAAAGTTGTTGTGGTCTCTCTGTGAAATGCATTTAATTGCTTCACTGCGTGGCACATATAACAAAGTCATAATTAAGCCGTACTTTACTGAGATGGAGCAATGGAGGCATTCGCAGTTACTGCCTGGGATCATGTTCAGCAGAGAATAATGTAATAAACACTTTTGGTTTCACTTTAACCTTCTTATGTGTTATTTTTATAAAAAATTAGTATCAACAGGAAGTACATACATCTGTCCTGTTGCCAGTATTTTTACTATTTGCCCCCGTACTGGCTTGGCATACGTTTTTATTAGTGCACATTTTATGAAGTGCTGAGAATGCTTGTATAGCTGGCCAATTTTTCATAATAGGAGTTTATGTAATGAAAAGTATGGTTACCATCACTCGCCATGTGTTTGAGGATTGGAAGAAGTTCTGAGTTTCTGCTGCTTCAGTTTCACACCTAATACAGATCTCCTTTTCTTACATTCTTTGTAGGGGAAAGAATATCCGTAGCCTGGTCTTGAGTATATCCAGAACCCAAAGCTGAGGGTTCAGCGAGGCCAATCGTTGTCTTTCTTAGTATTCCTAAGTCTTAGAAGGGTTTTCCTTTTCATCTGCTTTCTGGAAAGTTAAAATTGCTGATTCTATTCTTGCCCTTTAAACACATCCACTCTTTTCATCACACTTTTCGCTAAGACTGAGCAAAGACCTCTGTTTCTTCAAGGTGATGTGAGCTGCTGGATTTGCTTCTATTCCTTGCGAGCTAGGTGATTATGTGTGTGTAATTTATATCAGCTTGCCATCGTGTTATTTAGATTTGAGAAAGCAGAGACAGACACATTCTTCTTGCTTGTTTAATTGCGCACTCACAACATATGAGATAGGTCTGTTACATCAGAGTTAGATTTGTTTTTCTCACTCTTTATTTAATAATCTGTGAGACTTTGTTCCATAGCATCAGGTCTTAGATTGAGTGAGAGTTGCGATCAAGCTCTTCTCTAAAGCATTTAGGAATTCCAATATCAGTCAAACAGTTTAAAATATTTAAATCATTTTTAACACTATTCATTATACTGCTGAGCCTCCAATCCAGTTAAGAGTTGAGCGCTGTGGTTCAAAGTTGGAATGTTGTTGACTTTCTTCTGATTTTACCTCTAGAGACAAAGCATGCCAACACTGTCACATTTTCCCCCCAGCTAGATGAAAACGCAGTGAAATTGAAATTTTCACTTCTCCATAATGCTTTGCCTACAAATGTAGGCCACTGGGAAAGCACATGAATTATTTTGACATGAGTTACTGCGGCCTTTCTCCCTCATCTTAAAGTTGGCCACGTTAGACTCAAGTCAGCGTCATGAAATCTTTTATCATTGTTTATATGCTGGATGAACGGTGCTGCACAGTTTGAAGACTTAGGAATCACCTAATCCAGGAATCACCTGAGTAAGCCTGATAGAAAATTGCTTTAAAGAATCCTGTGGCGAAAGGTGTAACCAACTTTTGATTTGCAATGCTCCAGTTCTCATCAATGTCTTGTCATTCTTCCCTGAAGTACAGGATGAGGCATGACGCTACCAAATCAGTCTCATTGTTCTGTATCTTCTGTGTAACATGAGCTTTGTTTTGTTTTCTCAAAAGGCGTTTAAACAGAAACCACCTTCAGCTGTTTCCTGAGCTGCTGTTTCTTGGGACTTCGAAGCTATATAGGCTGTAAGTAGACACATACAGATATTATTGCTTTGGGTAGTGCCTTTATGCTTTATGAAATGTGTTTTCGATCTATGTTCTCGTTCTTGCCTGAAGTCAGTCACCAATAGATTAATGGATTAAAGCTTTTGCTTTGTTGCTGTTGTTGTGGTTGGTTTTCCAGGGATTTGAACCATTTTTCTGGCTGTACGTAGTGGTTTATACATGCAACTGAATTCTTTTATTTTACTTTTTTAATAAAAAAAAACATAATCTCACAGAATAATGATGAAATTTACCTGCTTCGTAGAAATTTTACATTCGTAGATAAAGTTGCTGCTGAGCCTCCTTGTAAGAGGAAACCAGAAATGTTCCAATGTGACCTTGGTGGTATTGTTTCTGTACATAAGTAGCAGTAGTTATCAGTCTGAACATGTTATTTTAAAGTATTTAAAGAGGGCAGTAAGTCTCTTAAATGCTTCTCCTAAAGCCAGAAATCTCGGTTCTTCACCATGTGTGAGTATAAGGCGAGGTCTGCTCTGTATCGCGCCGTGGACTGGCAAAGGGAAGGAGTTCTTCAAGGAGCGTCCTTTGGGTATTTGGAAGAAGTGGTCTTCCCTCCCTGGCGTGCTTGTGTGCTGAGTAATATATAACAGGGAAAGCACAAACTGAAAGCTTTTAAATTAAATTTTAAGCTATGTGAATGACTGTGCAGATGGAAGATAAACTACAAAGTGCTGAAAAAATAAATACAAATGATCATTGATGTTCATGCAAGTTGGGGGAAAAAAGTGTTAGAATATCAGTTGCTTAGTGGCCTCGCCTGGGTGGTGGGGCTGTCCCATCTGGTAGTATTTGTAGAGAAAGAACAAATCACTCTTTTTTTTTTCCCCTGAACTTGGCTTTGTGGCCAAGGTTTTGTGGCTAACTAGGTCAACATGGTGATCCTCAACTGCAGAAGCGGCAGGGCTGTTCCCGGATTTCCCCCAGTGGTAGCCTTGGTCTGCGAGGCGCTGCTCATGGCGCTGCTTGCCGCAGGGAGAACTTAGCCTGCCACCCCGTAGCTGCTCTCCCGAGGCTGGCTCTCGGGCGGTGTTCCCCTGAGGACAGCCAAAGCAGCTGGCAGCCTCTCTCTCTTCTTCTTTGTCTTCCTTGCTTTTTAATTGGCCCAATTTGAGTAAATTTAAAAAATCAAATAAACCTTGGGCAGGCTTTTTCACAAAAATTCCTTGGGGACGATTTTACAAAGGAAATAAGAAGCAGGCTTCCATAAAAGCTCTGAGTCTATATATCAGTTGATGCTTAAATTTAAATATTTCAGCTTAATTTCCAGCAAGGGCCATGGAAATAATTTTAATAGCATTCTACGTTTTACTTTAAATATTGTATTTGAAGGAGATTTTAAGAAGTTGACTTAAAGGCTAGTATATAGTGAGCCTCGTTAAACCACTGGATTGCTAACACTGGGCTTATAAAAGCACATAAGATTTGAGGAAGCTATTTTGTGTATTGTAAAAATAAAATTTTGAAGAAACGACTTGAAAAGGAAGACTCCCAATGAAACTTGTAAATATATCTTGACACTAGGATACTAGACTTTTTACCATTGTCTGTTCCTACAATACCACGATCCACCAAAACAGCAGAATGTTGGGCTGGTTGCTGAAGGACTGTTGTAATAACATGGGAGAAAACGATGGGAGTGGGGAAGATGGGGAGATGGAGGAGGGAATCTCTATACCTACAAAAACGTACCATGGAAAATAATAACAATTAAAAACAATAAAAGAAAATAAAACAAATGATAGAAAGAAAAAAATGAGTATTACCTGGAACAGGGGAAATGTACAAAGTAAACTCAATATCAGAGAAACAAAACTTGTGTGATGCTTGGGTTAATCTCTTCAATTTCAGATGGGATAGTCCATGGCAGACTTCCCTATCCACAAACTATATTTTATTTGACATTGTATCTTCATTGACAAGACCATAGAATGAACTAAATATTTTTTCATTTGTTTTGTTGCTACTTTAAAATATTATGAAGGTTTTCTATGAAGCAAAGTGACCTGATATTTTCATCAATTGAATCAAAAACTAAAACCTGTATAAGTATAAGGCAACACTTTCTAGTTTTTTAAGGCATGTAAAAAATTGGGAGAATGGGTAACTAGAAAATGTGTTCAGAACCTTTATGTGTCTGTTGTGATCAAAGATTTTTCCCTGGGAAGCAATGAAAGGCAAAGTATAGGAGTTACAGGAAACCAGCTAGAAGAGGGACATGGCAATTTTGATATTTCTGGAGTTCAAGCTTTTAATATTTAATATTGTCATTTAATATTGTGCCTTGTCACTTTGACTTTCACATTTAACATAGGCAATGAATGCATACAGAATCTTAGAGCTTCATTCCTGCCTGTACCCTCACGTCAGGAATCTACTTTTGAGTTGAGGAACAGTTGCCTCTCCCGAATTAAGACTTTAGTGAGTTGGTAACACTAATAGTTCTTTTGAAAGAACATTTTTCTAAGCTTTTCTGTGATGGTGATTTCTGAATTAAATAGCTACCATTTCGAATCTTTAATAACCGAAGGAAAGAAAGCTTATGAAGCTACCTGTGAACTGCAAGGGTACAGCTTTAGATTTTGTTAAGGTGGTACAGGTGACTGAAAAAGTATTCTGGTGGGTGGAAAAATGTTTGCAAACCTACATGCAAATGAGGCCTTTCAAATTCTCATTTAAGAATTGCCGTTCATGTACAACCAGAGTAAGTGGCAGAAGAAAGGGTGTCGGAGTTTGGAATAACAGGGAATAAGTTTTAGGACAAGATAGTCATTGACTGGTTATTGAATACATGCTAAGACAGCTGTAACCGCTCTGCTGCCAAGGTGGGAGAATGATGCGTGTGTAACTCAGGAAGGAGATGAACTTGGGAGTTATTTTTTTACTTTTACCAATATTTGTTTTCTTACATATCATCGCTTTTATGAACACATGACAATATTTTTCTCTGATATCCCTCTAATAAAAAAGATTGCCAGCTTAAAATGTAGTTCATATACTTGCTATTTTTAGCACTGTATGCATAGATTAAAGCCAGGTTGATGCGCTGGACATCACAGATATTCTTTGCGTGTTTGTAAGGAATAATCACCATTTGACTCTTGGTTGAAGGCGAGATGCCAGCGGAAGCAGCACATATGCTTTTTGCAGACGCTGGATGCAATATAAAAGAAAAGGAGGGTACACTCTATATGAATTATGATTCGACACGGTTGGTTGCTGCTAGCGGCCAAATATGCTTTTCCTTTGCTGTCTGCTCCAATTTCTCTTTGGACTGGTTGAGAGAGCACTACATGTTCAGGTCAAGATGTTTGCTCAGAAATAGTAGTACAGTTGCAGCTGTGTTTGTTGGAGCAGGAGAGTAGTTTAAATAGCATTACCATTTATCCAGTCCATTAACAGAACTCTGTAAAATAATACCAACTCTGCGTAAACTACAGGACAGTGTAATAAAATTACAAGCACTTGTTGACAGATGGAAAGTGTAAGTAAAGGAAGGGGCCATAGGTTGGAGGTTAAAAGAGACAGCACATGGTTCTCTTAACTTACATGCCAAGACTTCTTTCTCCCCTTTGCTCCTCCTCCAGATTTGGGGTTGCATTTTTAGACTAGCAACCTGCAAGTGGAGGAATGTTTTTTAGAGAAATCTGCCACTATTTAAAACTGAAATTGCAGTGAGTATTGAAATGATTGATGATAGTTAATTGAAATCCATGTTGCTATTTACAAGTATCCCCTGCAAATATAACTTTAAAGTAGACTTGGAAGTGTGTGATTCATAATTTCTGACTTGAGTTTGCAAGTACTAATCCAGGCTCGTTAGAAAAGAATTTCATTGATAGTATTGTGGTTATGCCTTTGGTTATAAATATTTGTTTTGTGGTTTTCAGTTTATTTTTTTGAGTGTTATGGTATTTACCCAGGCTTGTAGTTTAAATATGTGAAACAGTTCGCAGAAACTTGTTTGTCACTGCATTTACCAGACCAAAGTCAACCAACACACCAACAGGAACATCTGAGTATATCCCAGTGACTCATTTTATTTCCTGAGTCAAATTCTCTAACTTCTGGCTCAGAACTGGTACTTATTATCTCCTAATGTAGAAATATGTAACATTACTTATAAATAGTTTTGTTGATGTTATACACTTTTTATAGCATAGTACTTACTTACGCAGGATAGATTTTAAGGACATAGTACCTACTTACCTGGGATAGAATTTGACTTCTTAAATTGTTTTGTCAGGCCACAGCTCGTTAGCTGTCATATAGGATCTAGATTCTCAAAATTGTTTTGGATAACCCTAATATTTGGAACTCTTAAAAAAGGAAGACATTTTCATTCTTCCAAAGTAAAAATTAATTTTCTAAGCATGAAAATATATTATTAAGTGTCTTTCTCTTTTCAGTACTTCCAAAGCAAAAACTTTTTTTTTAAATAGTTTTAAGATGGAAACATGTTTGTTGTAAAAATGGTTGGGAAAAACGAGTGAAAATTATTCATTATCTCACAACTAGATACAAATGTTCTTACATTTGTCAGTTATTATAATCTTAGTTTTATGATTATGCACATAGATGCTGCTGAAATTCTCTGCTGGGAAAACATTTTACCATCCTCAGGGTCTAGTAAGAAGCATGACCTTTAGAAGCTCTGAGCGTTAGATGTAATGAATTAAATCTGTGACAGATTCAGGGTTTACAGCTTGGATGAACAAATAGTAACGGAGAAAGCGGTATGAATAATAGAGAGGCAAATTAAACACAAAGAATAACTGGACTAATTAAATGTTTGATCCCTTTAGGTTTGGGAAACAATGAAGTATTTTGATTGGTAGACACAGCATGACCAAAAAACAATCTGTTTTTTTGCCCAATCAGGGTATATCTCCCTTAATATGATGCTTCACTGATATAAAACTACCTCCCAAGTTCCTGGATGTCAGTTTAGTCTCCTAGGA